TGCTGTTCTGCACCTAAGAGCTTATATGTACAGCCCTCCCGTAGGGTGCTGGACCCCTATCTGCCCTGTTGTCCTGAGCCCTGACTGCTTAAAGGACATTCCCAGCACCCTTTGTATCCTCCTCTCCCACCATTCACCATGTAGCACTGCTTGCATCTCTTCCCCGGGGCCTTCCCACCCAGTGGGCTTTAGCCCGGGGCCACCTCCTCCAACTCCACCTACAATCTAGGCCTGTTTTTTTTTTCTTTAGAAACACGGGGCATGCTTTTTCTTGGACAGTACCTTGATTTCACTGAACTGAGCCAGGTAATTCTCCATCAGCCTCACTGCCTGGTCAGCAAGTTTTTCCTCGTAATCTTCCCACAGGAGATTGTTACTCTGGATATCAAAAGAAAGCCATGGGGTGTTTTAAAACCTCTGTCATTATATACAAGCCCCAGCCTTGGTTGGAGCCTTGGCCCTTTGTCACCTAGGCCTGGGCAAGGGGAAAGTCAGCCCAGGAGACACAGCACTGACCTGGGACTCAGGGAAGCTTTGTTCACCCTGCTCTGCTACAGCCTTCCCCATGACTACGGTCAAGTTACTTTACCTCTCTGCCCTCCTCTTGGACAAATATTAAAAAGCAGCTCTACCCCACTACTGAGGGCAGCTGGGAGGGGCCCAGTCCCAGGTGTTTAAAGCCAAAAGGCACGTGAGGGTCTGAATTCCCAAAGCTTTGGGAGACCATAGGAATCCAACCAGTGTTTCAGCATCTCCTTTCACGCCAGAGGCTCGATTGCTGTAGGCTTCATTGCCAACACAAACAGCAGCCAGTGGACGGTCCCCCAAGAGGATGGGCAGATGTTAATGTGTGTGTTAAACCATAGAGTCAAATTGACAGGGGAGGGGTTAGCCCAAAACTCCCCTTTATCTGAAACTAGAGGTCTGGAGCTGAGATTCTTTAAAGCCAACTTGGTGTTACCCATTTATCCAGTCCAAGCTCAGAAGGGTAGTGATGGGCAAGGGCTACACCACCATATAAAATGTTAAACAACGTACTGTATCTAATATAATCCATGCCCCTGCCCCACTGCAGGCAACAGTCATGAGCAGAGCAGACGTTTCTTTTCACATCCCCCCCTGCTAACTATTGTAGACCCGTTTGGACACAACATCTAGCACTTCAGCATCCTTTCACAGTGTGTGTATGCCACACCCTTGTGCTCTTAGCTCCATTTCACAGACAGAGAGCTGAGAGGCCAAGCGACTTGACCAAACTCAAGCAGCAAAACAATTTTTGAACCCGGGTCCCTCCAGCTGTAGGCTGGCATCCTTGCCAAGCCATCCATTCCTTGCTCTTCAGCAAACAAAGACCGGACAGTTCACAGGTTGCTTTTACCCAAGCCTCTCACCTCAGCGATAGCCTTCAAGTCCTCATGACCATCCCAGTCCACACTATAAATTTCTTGCAGGGTTTCTGCCACTTTCTTGGAGCTTTCGTGCATCACTGGAAAAGCCAACCCAGAACAGAGCATGAGACCACGCGCTGAATAATGATACTTCCTTCCCTGAAGACATTGGCTTAGGACCTTGTGATAAAGAGGATATGGTGGGAGGGCCAGGGAAAACTGTATTCCTCTTGGACAGAGGTGTTGGAGGTGGGTGGTCTCATAGTTTCATAGTTGTGAAGGGCTGGAAGGGATCTTACAGATCATCGGGCACTTGGGCAGGAAAGACCGCTGGGATCAGATGACCCCAGCAAGATGGGTTGAGGGGGACAAGGGAGTTTCACAAATTCATTTCTATTAAGGCCATCCAAACTACCCACAAGGATTTAGAGGCAGAACCCCCTGGCTGAAATAGAGGGGATTTAGGCACCCAGCTCCCATAACTAGGCTTTGAAAAGCTCATGACTACTCCCCATGGGCAGTTGCAGCCTTAGGGCAGGGCAAACTGGGTGACCGCCTGGGGCCCCACGTTTTAGGGGGCCCAAACTTTTTGGGGGGTGAAGTTTTTGCAAGGAAGTGGCTTAATTTGCATTTTAACACTCAACTATTTATCTGATGCCCCCAAAGAATATTAAGATGCTTTCATTGCAGTTTCATGGGTAGGGCAAAGTGAAATTGAAATCAAAACTGTCCGACTTGTTTATAGGTCATCAAAATTTAGCCTCTAAGGGGCTTCAAATGACTCTCTTTTGCTGGGGGCCCCAACAACCCTAAGGCCACCACTGCCATGGGCAGATAGAGGCAAGGGAAGGTAGCCGGGGGGTGGAGGGGAAGGTTGGGCACTGAACTGAGACTTGGGGCATGTGGATTTGATTCTCAGCTGTGCCACAGACTCCTTACATGACCTTATGCCTGTCACTGAGCTGACCTCTGAGCTTCAGTTCCCATTCATGACAAGGGACAGTACTTCCCTGTCTCGCTCTGGAAACTGAACACAAACCCCATTGATGAGAGCGAGGTGATGATTCCAGATCAGGATATAGCTGGCTCCCCTGGCATCCTTAGCTTGCAAAGAGGAGGTAAGTTGTCTGAAGGCATGGAAGGAGTTGGTATGAAGGATGAGATTAGAAAAAGAAGGCTGCTAAAAAAGGCTGCCCTTTAAGACAGACACTGCCCAGTTAACATGAGTCTTGGCATCTTTGATGCTTGCCCTAAAGCTTTATCTCCTGGAGTCATGTGAAAATTTCAGCTTACCTATATCTATATTGATATATATAGAGATATAGCTATAGATATAGATATCTATATATCTATATCTATATCTATATATAAAGCATGGTTTTAAATTTTACAGCAGCGAGAAAATAAAATGGTTTAAATTCTGCCCTGGGTGTGACAACAAAAAGTTTCAGAAGTGCCAAAAACCTGGTCAAATTGTCATTTAAAAATATAGACTTTCAGATTTTTATTTTTATGCCTAGTTTGCAAGGACTGATTTGCAAAGCTTGGAGCTGGTGACCTGGCATGCCAGCAGCCTGGCGTGGAACCAAGCTGCAGAGCAAGCTCTGGAAGGGAGAAGCAGTGCCTGCTACCTTTCACAGCATTTAAGAAAGTCTTCAGGTCCTTGTAGAGCTTGTTGCCTTCATTCTGGAAAAGCAAAGAGTAGCTTTATTGTTCTGGCCCTTTCCTTGCTCCTATTCCCCTTCATGTTAATGGCTCAGAGCTGGCAGCATCTGCCCTGCTAAGGGCCAGGTAGTGGCTGCTCACATGGGAGCGCCCCAGCATGCACGCGAAGTTGGAGGGGGAAGAGCTTCCAGAAAAATGGGCTGAAGGAGAACCAGGCTCTCACCCTGACACCCAGTATTTGCCTCTCTGACCCACGTGTCCTGGGGTCTGTCCCCTACTCCTTGCCCCACATTTCAGGGGACCCCAGACTGCTGCTCCTTGCTGGGGCCAGACTGATCAGACTGCAGGTGGAGGCTAGAATGGGGGGGCTTCCAGCCACGTGTGTGCGGATTCGTTCTCATGTAGCCTAGCGGGGATCTTGCTGCCTGGAGCCCCAGGCTGCGAGTGCTGGTTCTCCAGCCCTAAAACCAGCCCCGTTTAAAAGATTGGGAAGCTCAATATGAGCTGATAGCGTGCCTGTGTTGCCAAGAAAGCGAACAGCATCCTGGGCTGTCAGCAGGTCAAGGGAAGTGATTATTCCCCTCTATGCTGCACTGATGAGGCCACGTCTGGAGTCCTGTGTCCAGTTTTGGGTTCCCCACTACAGAAAGGATGTGGAGAGAGTCCAGTGGAGGGCAATGAAAATGTTGAAGGGGCTGGGAGACATGATTTGTGAGGAGAAGCAGAGGAAACTGGCCTTATTTAGTCTGCAGAAGAGAAGATTGAGGGGGGATTTAATAGCAGCCTTCAACTCCCTGCAGGGGGGTCCAGAGAGGATGGAGCTAGGCAGTTCTCAGTGGGGGCAGATGACAGGACAAGAAGCAATGGGCTCCAGTTGCAGTAAAGGAAGTTTAGGTTAGGTATTAAGAAACAATCTCTGACAAGGAGGATAGTAAAGCACTGGACCGGGTTACCCAGAGAGGTTGTGGACTCTCCATCCTTGCAGGTTTTTAAGACCTGGCTAGACAAAGCTTTGGCTGGGATGATGTAGTTGGGGCTGGTCCTGCTTTGAGCAGGGGGCTGGACTAGATGCGACTTCCTGAGGTTCCTGCCAACTCTCATTTTCTGTGATTCTGTGATAAGAACTTCCTTCATTCCCTGCCCCTCTCCCCCAGCACCTTTCAGGATCCCACTCCCTCCCTTTCTATTCATGCTCTATGCCCTATTTCCCCTCAGTCAGACCCAACCTGCTGCAGCTGGAAGTTGTAAGCGCTTTGTTCAAACTGCTCATCTTTCGTTTCCACTGTTTTGCCCAGTTTCTGCAAAACCTGGGGTAAGAAGAAAGAGATAAATACATAAAAGTCCTCCTTTATTATCTGTTAATCGCATTATAGCTGATTTCATACTTTCATAGATTTCATAGACATTAGGGCTGGAAGGGACCCCGGAGGATCATCGAGTCCAGCTCCCTGCCCCAAGGGCAGGAAGTCAGTGAGGATCATAGGATCCCAGCAAGATAAGCATCCAAATGCTTGAACAGGTTAATCTCTCCCCAGTATCATAAGGGGACCCGAGTTGAATTTGGGACTCCAAGGTACGATTGTAATTTTAATGCTAATATTAGCATCAATATTAATAGGCGTTCATGTGAAAATGCATAAATAATATTGACACGGTTAATGATTTTTAAAATCATTTCCTCCTCCTAATTTGAAAAAGCAATTTCATTACTAAGTGTTTGCATCCCAAGATGTTCAGGCCAGAAGATAACGTTTTCATCTGCTCTCCTTTCAAACAGGCCCGAGAATTTCAGCCAGCGATTCTGGAATCGATTCTGCTAGAGGTGCTGGACCTGGGTCATTTAAACCAAACCAAACCAATAACAACCTCCCCGCTCTGAAAAACACACACACACACACACACACACTCATTGTACTGAGGGTTTAGATGAAGCAATCCAAATGTAAGGGGATCTTTGAAGATACGCATCTCCTGCTTGAACCACCTGCAGGTCTGAGCCAGTCAGGGGAGACGACACGCCAACACAATTTCACATTTTTTGCTTTGCAGAGAAAAAAAATGCCACGCAGAGCTGAACCCACCCTCGCTCTGGCGCTCCACAAGTGAAGAGAGGGGCTGTCGGACAAGCAGAGGTGCACAGCGATGTGGCCCAAAGGAAGGATGGTTTCCCAAGGAAGGGTCTGGTTGTCTTTGTGATGGACCAGAAGACCTCTCAAAGGAGGAAGTCAGACCCTAGCTGTTCTATGTCATGGTCCATCCTGCTTGTTCAATGATGTGCAGTGGTATAATGGGAGAGGCTCCCGCGCCCCAAACATGCAACTAATCCTCACTTTGGCCCAATGTCCCCATTGCTACAGATGCATAGTACTTCTACAGCCTTCAGTAGCCCAGCTGCATGGTCTTAAATACGTGAATCCTGAGCGCTCTCACACAGGAGGAGCTAAGGACTTCTGTGGTGAAACGCAGGCTTTAAGTCAGGTCTCCCCAGTCTCCAAGGCAAGTGCTCTAACCACAGGGCATCCTATCTCCCGCAGAGCAGCAAACAGGAAGGGTGAATTTCCAACTGCGCTGTCCCCAAACAGGAAGAGGCTGCAATACGTCCCAAACTCAGCAACAAGAGGGCTCGCATGGAGTACAGCCAGGACCATCATCCCTATCCTTATCGTTGAGCCCACAAGGACAAAGCCATTTGATCTCTGTTGTCTTGGGGAAACCTGGGGGGGAGGGGTGAATTTGGGCCCTAAACGTGGTGCTCGGTTATCTGGGCTGTCTTTGAAGAGTGTGCCCAGAAGTTCACCAGGTTGTAAACTCTAAAGGCCCTCGTGGTGGATTTCCACACTTCTTCGAGTCAGCAAGCATCCATGAACCCATCGCTTTTTCTATCTAGTTCAATGGTAACCCTGGAAGGGCCACTGAACACTCATCCAGTCCACAGGAGTTGCATGGGCTGTTTCCAACCCCCTCCTCTCTTTCCCGTGGAGGACCG